TCTCTCTCTCTCTCTCTCTCTCTCTCTCTCTCTCTCTCTCTCTCTCTTACATACACATACACACACTCTCTCTCCTTCCATCTTTCAAACCATCCGAACCCTGGCCGGATACCCGGCGCAGTCGCTACCACCTCCTACTTCCCCACCTTCACAGCCATCAACCTAGCTCCGAAACACTCCCACTACTTTTCGCATTCCCTGCTCCAAGTTGTTTCCTCCCTTGCTTTTCGTTCAACTAGCTAGCTAGCTGGCTAGAAACTAGAGGCTAGAGGCTAGAGAGTCCACCTAACGTACGGACAGGTAGATGGGATCGGACATACGTGCACGTATTGCTGGGTAATCAGTAATCAGTAACCAGTAACCAGTAACCGGTATCCAGTAACTTGTAAAATTCTTGGTGATACTCGAGTTCGATGACTCGTTCACCGTTTTAACAATAGTTTGTCCGTTTACCTCAGATTTGAAATCGATTAAATCCAACTATTTCAATTTGGTCGACGAAATCTTTGCTGGATTGTGCCAACCTTGAAAGCTACTATATACAAGTACTACAGAGACGCTGTAATATAACGTTCCTCCAACTTGATCAGCCATGTTGTGACGTCAAACCAACTCAAAGGACTTGACGCACGCGCAAACTTGAACCATCGTGACGTGAATGTGTTCATAAAACGTGATGACTGTCGCATCGCCTCTTCTTCTCTTTGCACCACACATTACGTAAATACCTACTATTTTTCACTGGCGCTCTTCCAAAGTGAGACTTGCTAGTAGTAATACCATTCGGACAAATCGATCGAAACGTGTTCCCACTTGTATCAACGTTTCTATTATTTCCAGTAACCAATCAAACATTCAGGTATAAACGATATCTACGGAACTAATCGATGTCACGAAAAGTAGTCGGTCGATAACTTCATTACGAATTTTACGTTTAATAATAGCGAATAATATTCAACTTAGTCACCAGAAACGCTAACAGAAACGCAATCGCACAAAATCTCGTTTAAATCGATGATGGAATATTTTCCCATGTAGTTCGTTTTAATTCTTACCGTTCGTAGCGCTATAATCTTATTCCAGTATGAATCGATAACGTTGGATTTGACATCGAAATAATGTCCCGACCCACCAATACGCCATTGTTTAACTAATAAATTATATATATTTTTAATTTCATAAAATTATCGTATCGTGTTTGGAGAGTAAAACTAATGAATGAATAATCATTTTTAACCGACTTCGAAAAGGAGGAGGTTTCTCGATTCGACATGTATATGTTGTAAACGCAGGTTAATTACGCCATCTCATCTCCATTTAATTTCACCATCTAAGAAATAAAAAGACTTTTTTCCAAGTATGCAAAGTTTTAACTTTAATCATTTTTTTTATATACTCCCATCTACAAGCGAATCTACCGGTAGAGATCTTCTTTTACCATATCGTTACAGTATCCATAGTCGGTGAAAATTTAAACCATTAATATATCACTAGTCGTTCATTTTATGGACTAAGTTTACTAGAAAATTATATTTCAATTAATTCATATTTGAACGTTGTAGCATCGATAACAATTTTTTTTACGCTACCAACAGTCTAAAACGATTTCGTACGAACAAGGATATCGATTTAATGTTCCGTTATGTAAGTAAATGATCGTATCAAACGGTGATTATATTAAGGTTATTAAAAACGATGTGGGTTCTACTTAAATCGTGAATAATAATCATTGGAATGATGTCACCAACGAGTTTGTTCTGTTTTGTCAATGCAGAAATATTATTGACGCATACATATACATATTTCCACATCCTTTTGAATACATGATTATACACCTAAAACGACACTAGAACATTTTTCTACATATGTTTACCATGGTTAATATTAATACTCTTCGTTATGTATATTCGTTATGTGTTTTGTTTTTCAATTGACGACGAAATTTAGAATGCAATCGATAGGTACTATTTTATTTCAACTAACCAACCTCCTTATTTCAACAAGGAGGATGATTACGAGTTTTACGCTAGAAGCAAATGAAATGGACTCACGAAAATGTGAGCATAAGAAAAGAAAAATTACGTAGACGTTGTTCTAGAAAAAACAAACATTGTGAATTAAAAAATGTAAGTAAACAGTAAGTTGTTTGCATTCGATGATCTAAAGAAAATGCTCCATCAAAGAGTCAGATCTCGATTACTTTGAAATTTGACGTGATCGACGAATCGAGCGCCTGACTCGGCGAACCAGTTCGCGCATGCGTGCGCATTAATTTCGATGCGTGGTGGGTGGTGCGCACACGCGAATGAAACGCCAAGTAGAGCGCGAGCCAGTATTCGAAAGGAACTCTGCGGTGTCACGCGTGCGGTGCGCGCGGTCTCCTTTCTATTTACCAATTGATCGATTCGACGCGCGAAAAATAATCGAAGGAAAAGAAAACGAAAACAAAAGGTGCATCATCGCAAATACTGGATTACCCTTTCTCGCGAGGTAAGTCTTCCAACTATTTCGATTGGATATTTTTCTTTAAATTCGATTCAAAATTACCATTGGTCTCACGGGCTGGTGAATAGCGAACAGCGAACAGCGAACAGCGAATACGGATCAGAGAATCGCGAAAATGCTTATCCAATCGAATGTTTCCTTCGAATAACGAACAAGTTTGTACTCGTTATTAGTTGAATAGAAATTATAAGTCGAGTGGCGGATGAAAATGATATTTCTCAGTGATTATACGTGGAAAATAAGTGTCGGTTTACGATATTATCATTTGCATATAGCAACGACAATTGCATTCCACTTGTCACCGTGGTGAATCATTGAATCTGGTAATATTTCATATTTCACTGGTACTATATCGGTCAGCGCAATATAAAATGCATCATTAACGCTTGATACGAGGACAGCATTCCGACTGTTTAAACGTAACTGGCTATTCTCTACAACTTGTGCTGCAACAAGAATTCCTTAAACATTAATTGTAATATTGAAACAAATATTACGAAACATCGTATGAAATTTCAAGTATAATTTCTACTATTTATTTCTACGTACTACATAGTTTTCGAATTTGAAGTTTAATAAATACTTAATGGGCCATCGAATACGTATTATAACGGAATAGCAAACGTTTACTAATCGTAGTATAATATATCGAGCCTCCTACTTACGTACATTGAATTACTATAAATGTACTGGCCAACATACTAACAATGGCTTGCTAGCAATTAATCTCGAGACATTAAACAACTCTACGGCTTCCTTGAGAGACTGCGGGAACAGTGACCGTCGTTATATCACGAAAGTATGTATGTATGTATGTATGTATGTATGTATGTATGTATGTATGTATGTATGTGTGTACGTATGTCATTGGTCAACGTGTCTTACGTTATCCCTATAAAAGTTTCAGAACTCGCAACAACGACAATCTAAATTTGATTTGATCATTTTGACGCCACTAGGGGAAAAAACGCAAACACTCGAAATACGCAACGTTAGATATATGCCTCGCATTTATTTTAGAGTCGCGAGTCAGTATGCATTTTCTTTGCGATACCGTGAGCTTGAATGTTATTTTCAACATTTTTCCCCTCAACTTTTATTACAATTTAGAGATCGAAAGGTTCACTGGGTAGAGTAAAGTAAAAAACTAATAAAAAGTAAAATCATTAGCCATGTCGTTTATAGTCTACGAGGAGAGTATAATAAAATTAAGATTATTAGTAAATTTATAGTAAATGGTTAATTATAGATATGAACGCGACACGCCATCGAATACCACACTTACTACACACGTTCTTTGTCGCGCACGTAACCCAGTAAGCAGATGATCGTTCTCGGTAGATGGGCGGAAGGTCAACAAATCCCACTTTCCGTCTTCGTGGACGTTTTATCCATGTGTATGGTGTGTTTCAATTTCAAGGACCGTTCGAATTACGCTCTCGCGGTAGTGAAATTCTCGCGACATTTACCATATCGTATACATACTTGAGAAAAAAGCGTTATTATAAATGTTATCAATCTAATTTGTTAGCAAGTTGAAAAATTAATTAATAATCGAGAGTTTTTTGGCAACAAGTAAAGAAACAAATTTATGCGATTCTCGCAGCTCTTATCGATGCAGACTTTCGTAAAAGCTGTTAGGTTATATTTATTCGAGTTAAACAACGATCGGAACATCAGACGCAAACGAAAGAACAAGAAATAGAATGATGTTGAGGGCGTCAGTTGGCCGGACCATTGCTAACTACACGATGTCAAATGTTACTGGTAAATTTACGCGAACCGAGCTTTGCTTTGTTTAACATTTTCTAATGTACCGATTCATATCTATGTATGTATCTGGTCATGGCGATACATTAGAAGTAGACAAGTATAGAAAAGTATCATTACGTGAAAACTTGAAGTCGTCCTAAGAATTTTATTTATATTTTACGTCAATACTAATTGTTTGTTCTCTCGGTGAACGGTATTTGAGTATAACCGAAGAATAAAATAGAAATACTCGATCTTTGGTTGTATTTGTAAAGAACGTGTTACGAATATACATATGTATATACATAGATAGAGACAAAGCATGTTATGTAATTAACACATGTTACTAGTGTTCTCCTGTCAATGGTTGATTAGTTACCTTACAATCGCGTTACTCGTGTTACGCTGGTACTCGATCGTTTCATTGACGTGAGAGATTTCCGTTCTGGCCTGGCGATCGAGTCATTTATATTTATATACAATATAATGTACGTACATATACGCACGCACACACATAGTAGAACCGACAAAGGCAACCATAGTTAAAAAGTGTGGAAAACAGGCAAGATCGATGGTAATGTTAATAATTATTGTAATTATTTAGAAAATGAGATTAAACTAGGAGACGAATATGTAGTAGGTTCGAAAATTTGAAATTTTAGTAACGAATTGGTTCGAGTAAAAAATGTTTATCTGTGAATAGTAGATAGAAGAATAGAAATTGCAGAAAGTGTTTGTCTGGATATACGTTCGAACTGGAGTTTGCGGTGCTGCGATGATCATATATGTACGTAAGTGCGTGTCTCCTCCGCAGTCCGCAGACGGTTCTCGGAAGGCCTCCTTGGCCCCTTTGCCCCATTCGCATCGATGTCTCTGCCGTCGCCGTCGCCGTCGCCGTCGCCGTCGTTTGTCGGAATAACATTTTATCAGATGTTTTGGCATTTCCCGAGAAAATACTCTCCGCCCCAGGTTCTAATTTATTCGGAATATTCGAATGGAAGGTTTTCTCAATTTCTCAATTTCTCAAAGACTATAAAGATTATTTGTAAATATTTTTAGACGATTACCACAATCATGCCGACACACGTAAAACGTATGGAAAAAATGAAATAACTAACGACAGAATTCGAAAGAAATCTCTGTTTGTAAATTTCTATCGAGAATCGTCGGGTATTACACGCGCCCACTTAATTTGAAATGCCACTGCTCTAGCCCACAACCCACAACTTACTTTAGAGGCAACGATAAACCGGCTTTAGGTATTCACCGCGAAAGTTCCTGCACCGCGCCTCTAGATCCAGTTCTCATTCTCCTCGAATCCGCCACATTTATAAACGTTCAGCTTCTATAAATAGGACCACTGTTACGTCCGATATCCGGACGGGTTGTAATATGTAACACAGGTATTCAAGTATGTATGTAAAAGTTCCGCAAGTCGTATCCCGTGTACGAAATACATACATGTCCGTCACCTCGAGATTCAATTTCATGATTCTTGAAACGAATCTATTTTTAAAATAATCCAAAATTTTACGAACGACGTTTAACCGATTTATTATAATAGCAAACGTTGTTACGCGTGAGGATTTTGTTGATCAATGATTTTCTAACAAGAAGATTTGGCCTCTGATATTTTCGAATCGTTCGTCAGATCTCGTGAGGCAGGGAACGCTAAGAAGAGCGCAATGTCAGCAGCCGTGAGGGAGAGAACGACAACGCACACCAGCAGAAAGATCGTGAGTCATGGCGGTCCTATATCTGGCCAGAGCCAGCCAGCAACCACGGCCAACAGCAGCCTCGAAAACAACTTGGGTAAATCTTTAAACGTGCCACCAGAGGTGTAACCCTATCCTTTGATTATTCTTTTTTTCGCTCAGGTTTTCCACTCACGGCCACTCGTGATTCCGAGACTCGCTAAAATCAAATCGAAATACGATACCTGATCTTTTCGCATTTTCTTTCGACTCGTCCGATTTCGTCCGATTCTCCTTGACAGGGTACATATTTACGAAGGGGACATTGTTTAAAGGATTAACATGCATCACTTTTGAGGAGATTTTAAAATTATTCATAAATCTCTTAAATATTTATTTAAATATTTGAAATTCAGAATGCTGTGTTTCGTACTCGTTATTGAAACCAATTGGTTTCATTTCATTCCACGTGGGTATATTCATTCTGTGGGTAATCAGATCACATTAAGAATTATTAGTCATTAGTAATCGTTAAGTGGGTTATACATACGCAATATTACGTTTGAGTGTTGCATAAGCATTCTTACGTACTACCAAATCGAATGACGTATAAATTATATTTAATACAGCACGTAGCAAGTGACATCGCCATTGTATGTTATATTAAAATATCCGATAATAGCGTGTATAATCTTTCGCAACATCGGTCATCATCAAATAGAGGTATAAAACGATGTAAAAGTATCTAGTATATTACAGTCTTTTTCTTTCTTTCTTTCTTTCTTTCTTTCTTTTTTTTTATATATTCTGTATATATAAATGAACGAGAAAGTACAAAGTTCACTTGTTGCGAAATCTCTACGCATCTTCTATGTAGTAATATACGTACGTTTACGAAAGCCAAAAGGCGTATCAAATTAAATAAAGCAATTCGCATAATCTAATCTTTACGGTGATATACGAAATTTCGGTGAAATATTAACCATGTCCATTCGGAAGTTTCATTTTAAAACTTTCTATGAAATTTTCGAAATACCTACGTTCCATTTTATTCGTCGAGTGTCGAGTGTCGAGTTTCGGGTAAGGTAACCTACGCCTAGTCGATTTCTTAGTTCGTACGTTGGCTGGCTCTCAATTACACGCGTTGGTCGGTGTTTTATGACTTGACCTGCGCTGCACGTCAGGTCTCGATGGCGCGCTTTTAAGCGCGTTAAAAGTCCAGAAAATAATCCGTGATCAGTGGCAACGATATTTACTCTCACTCGTTGCTCGAATTCATTTTATCGTAATATTTAATACTCTAACACTATTTTTAGGTTGTTTTCTATAAATAAATAAAAACGCAGAACGAGTTTAGGGTTATCACTAGCTCTTATCTATCAAATATGTAGCTTTAATAATTATGCATACACATATACATTGCATATTTCATTTCATATGTCTCGATGATTTTAGATGCTCTTCTCGAGGACTTGCAAACAAGCGTCTCGAGAAGTACCACCCCTAATCGAGGAGGCAGACCGCTGTCGCCCCAAGTAGAGTATCGCGTGGCTGCGAATCCAACCAAGGTGGTGTCCGAAGTCAGGTGAGTGCCAACCATACGTTTGAAAGATAACAAACGAGTTGTTTACGAGTAAATATTTCACCAACGGAGAGGATAATGTTTCTATCGAACAAACAAAAATTTTCACTCAAGATCTATTTCACCGTCGCGAACGATGACGACCTCGATGGAGAAGTACGTGAGCACTGGACCGAGTGGCTCAGCAACTGGTATACCCGGTTTAGAATTCATCGATTCGGAACTACAAAATGTGAGTGTTTCGTCTTAATCTACATTTGCTCGATCCGATTTGTTGCCGTTTGCGTAATTTTTAGGATACAGATGGCATCGCTTTTATTATAACAAAATTATAAAATACAGTTTGAAATAAAGAAAAGAAAAATAATAATAATAATAATAATAATAATAATAACAACAACAGAGATTCGAAAAGGATCGCAGGAAATAAAAAAAGAAATGTACATATTTATGAACACGTATGTATATTTTGTGTAAAATGGTTGTATAAATTCAGCACGCTTCGTTGCGCATCAAACGCATATCTATCGCATACACAAGTCTCGCTCGAATACGAATTGTAATGTATTCGATGATATTCATTCATTCTACAGATTCACTATTTATAGCATATTCTTGTTAATGTATTCGTGTGCACTGGCACGAACGTAGTTACGAATTATAACGGCGAGGCAACAGGTTATCATTAATATTCAGCAAAATATTTAATAAACAGATTTTTCTATTTCAGGTACAACCCGGTCAAAGTAAAACGATCGCTTATAAGCAGGTGTCGTATCAGTACAACAAAAACCTCGATGGAAAGCCTGGTGGCGGTAAGTTTGCTGAAATGTTCCATTCTTTTTAATGGAATTTATTATGCTCTCACCGTGGGGGGATTTGTCGAATGTGAGAGGACTAACGTCAAACGTAAAACTACCAATAAACTCGCACTCTCTCGCGAGACTAGTTTTTGGTAAAAAATGTTCCGACCGTGGCGGAACACGCCTAATATGCTACTAGAAACCCTGAGGCGTGTTTGCGAGGAATCGCGCACAAGCGTTGGCGCGTTTTGAACGATCATGGATGGTAGGGGAGCTGGTCACTCGTGTCGCTCCTTTTAAGGCGTGGAACGGCCTTGCAGATATACACTGTTAATTAACAATGAAAACGCGTTGAGATTTCCGCGATGGGGGCCTCCTTCTGTCTATGTATGTGGATATGGATGCGAGGTAGACACCGCGATCGTGGTGTGTGTTGTTCGCGCGGTAACGCACACTACAGGTCCGTAACCATATTAGGTCTGCGTACAACAGCCTGGTTATGACCCGATTTCTCCGTCTTTCTACCGCACTTGGAAAGAGAAAATAAAAAAGACGAAGCACATGAATCATAGTAGGGGGAAGGACAAAATACGCGCGACATTGAGGTACAAGAAGAATGGTCATTGTGATCGAGTCAACAGGTGACGGCCATCCGGCAGAAATCTCTATGGGAACGTACAATTTATCCATCGCTCTCTATTTGTTACAATTTCAAAACGAATTACAAAACTAATAATTAAATCTATCTTTGTTGGAGCGACAAATATTGTTTCACCAACATTTCATAAGAATCTGACAAGCGATCTAATAGAAAAATCGAATTTCCGAATGTTAATTATGTAACTTTTAAACGATCATCGTTTAAAAATCTATTATACCGTGGTTGGAAACTATGACACGATGTTTTACAAAATCAATTTTACGTGATTTCCTTTTTTTTTTGTTTTACAGATACCTGGATAGCACCGGACAATACGATGTCTAGCTCGGCCTTGATGTAAGTGCAATTCTCTTTCATAGAACACTCGAAAATATCACAACTGTGTGAATGGTTGCCAAGAAAATTATACAGTACATACATACGTACATACATTGATACCAGCTAATAAAATAGAGAATAATACTTGGAAATTGTATCCTTGTACGTATGTAATTATGTATACATTATATATATATATGTATATATTTTGCAGCGATAACATACGAGAAAGAACTTACGAAGAAAATACAATTCAACGAGCTTTAGAACCTGCTAGCAAAACATTCAATAGAGAATTAGTGAGTGCTTTTCGTATTCGTGTCGGTGTGCGATATACCAATTACAAGACTCTATTCATAGACATATTTTAGGTATACAGCGACGGTTCTGCGCCTCGTTCAAAACAGACTTCACCTTTACCTGGTCTGCAACAGCGAGACGTAAAATATATTCATGAATCTTCGAGTACGTATATTTAACGATGTATTAATTAAAGCATAACGAATAACAAATAACAAATGTCAATGTAAACTATTTATATAAAAAGAATTGACACATTTTCGTAAGAAGAATTAATCACATGGGTGGGGGTGGGGCTCCTTACACGTTAAAGGTTATCAGGCAGAATCGACACCGAGTACGGTAACTACCGTCCATGCGAATACCGGCCAAGAATACGGAAATGTGGAATATATACCAGTTCCATCGCCAACGCCATCGATACCCATCAATCTGGCACCTGGACCAAACACAAAAGTCACGACCACCATAAAAACGTACACCTACGAATTACCAGGAGCACCCGAGACATATTTACCAGGTGGCGGTATGCCAGGAACTGTGGTACTTCCAGGTGACCAAAGAATTACGTATACATTACCGAAAGCCGGTAGCACTGCCACCGATAAGACGGTCACCTATCAAACTGCGACTGAAAACGTTCCACCTAAAACACCGACTAGGTATGGCAGTCCACCCCTTCTAACGGACATTACCAAAAAGTCTGCAACGTTGCACCAAGAATCAAAATTCTTCCGCGAAGAACACTACGGAGGTCAACCAGGACAACCAACTACAGTTGCCTATCATCCCGGTTCACCAGTCCAGACTACAGTCACGCGAAATGAAAAGTACTATCAAGTCGAAGGTGGTGGTGGTGGTGGTGGTGGCGGCGGCAGCAGTTACCCTAATGGCCACGGTCCTGGTGATCGACCAGATTATCCTGGAACCACGGTCATGTATCAAAACGAGCCACCACTCACCACTGTAAACGAAACTCATACCACTATAAATCGAATCGAGGAACATTACCCTAGTCGTCCACCGTCCAGTGGACGATATCCGACACCTGATAAACCAGCAACACCGGCTAACTATTATACCGTACCGCCACAGATCACTCCACCGCAACCTTCCACGACTATATATAAATTTTCCAACACGACTACGACTGTACCGCCTAGCAAGAATGCCGAAGACCACGAAGTGTTGTTACCTAAACCGTTCCCAGTCGGGAGCGTTCAAGTCTGTCCCTCTAAGCCTGCTACAGTTGAGCAAACTCCACCTAAAAAGTTGGAAGATCTAATGGCATCGTTCTCTGATTCTGAGGTAAATGAAAAACTCAAGAAAAAAAAAAATAAAAAAATAAAAATAAAAAAATAAATAAAATAAATAAAAATAAATAAATAAATAAATAAATAAAAGAGAAATAGTTGCATCTACATTACGTTACTTTCTAGCGCGAAGTGCTGCATAACATTGAAAAAAGGGAAAAAGTACAACAAAAAGAATCTTCAGCCGTTAAAAAAGAAGTCGACTTTGTGCCGCATACGCCGCCCAAAGTAAAAAGTAAAAATGTTGCCGGACCTCCAGTTTACTATCCTCCTGGATCAGCGGAATTCACTAAAAAGGAAGAATCTAGCGCGGCAATGTCGCAATCCGGTGTAAGTAGATTTCGCATATCATTAAGAATACGCAATCGATCATTTCTTTTTCTTTTTAATACATAGTATATATTATTTTGTTTCATTTATAGGGCGGATGGGAAAAGGCTAGTGCAAAATACGAATACGAAGCATCCAGTAAAAGCAAATCGAAATCCAAAAGCGGTGCTGCTGTAGTTCCCGTTTGTTTGCCTCTTTGTTGTGCTTTGCCGTGTGTAATTATGTAACGCATTATCAAATTAATATTTCCGTACCGATCAGCGATATTAACACGTTACACTAATTGATACTTTAAACGAAAATGTGTCTGAATTTACCAGTCTTCCGTCATTTACGTAAGCTATACGGCATAAATGACATTTTTCTTTCTGTTTGTTTCAACACAACGAACAATTTAAGATGTACAGTAGCAAGTGGAAGAAATAGTCAACTTGGTTCTCTATTAAGAATTGGTACAATTATAATTTCGCGGAAAAAAATAATAACAAGAACCGATAAGTAGAAACATCGTAAATATAAATTACATTATAATAGAGAATATAAACGCATTACGCTTTACCATTTTTCAATAGTTGATAAACTACGATAATACACGGTCGCTTCAGTTCTTTCATTCTTGCCTTTGTGAGTTTTCATTTTCTTTGTAATTGTTACAAGTTATAACGTATGGTGTAAAAATGTGTGTGTATGTGTTTTTTTTTTCATACGTAACACTGAGAGTATGTTGATGCATATAACGTGGAACTGAAAAACGGTAGAGGGGTACGATTCACGATTAACCGATATTAGACTACTCATTCTATGTATAATCGACGATACCCTTCACGCATTTCTTTTTCTTTCGGAGTACAAAGTCATCGATTCCACGATATTATGAAAGTAAATTTCATCGAATATTTTATTATATTTTCATTTTTTTATGTTTAAATTATTTATTCTTTTTTTGATTCTTTCAAAAATATTCTTAATGCTTGTCATATGTCTTGCGATATTTATATTTAATTATATATGCAAATGAGCGCTGATATATATATATTGTTTTAAACTGACGTACTTTGTTTGATCGCTTTATTATAAAATTTATAATTACATCCAAAACTTGTTTTCTAAACTATAGGGAAACAAATTATAGAGAGGAATGGGATAGGACAATTTAACATAAATAATATATAAATATACATATATCCTTTTGTATTGTTATATTATTAAAACAATATTATTGTATGTACAATATATTATCAAGCATATAAAATTTGTACTTGTAGTCCAATTGGACTGCTAACTTCCTCTTATACAATAACTAGGTATCTATCTACCACATACCAACAGTTGTTTATATATTTAAACAAAATTCAAATTATATTCGAAATATAATTTAATTTGTTACATACGTAACGAATGGATATGAAACGTCCATATACCGTGCTTGAAACGTGTAATACAATAATAATATTAGTAATTACTCTTGGTAGTTTAGAGCAACGTTGGTGAAAATAATTTAATTAAATGCCATAGCCACAAACTTAACTGTTTTTAACGAAACGTAACTAAAAATTTCTTTGTTATTTTAAGATAATACTGTGAATTATGGTGCTATAATAATTCTAGGAAACACAAACATGTAAATATAGTGCACACTCGTTGCAATACATCTAAGTGTGTTATAAAATACATGAATACAAATACTATCTTTATATACATATATGTAAAAAAATAGTACCAGACCGATATATATAAGAAGCGTGTTAAACAAGTAATAACAGCAGCTTGTACTTTCAACGATAGCATCCGAATCCCCTATAAATCCGATCGCTCTTTATTTTCCTCCAACATCCGTGACACTTTATAAATAGTCTTATCAAAAGTAGCGAATTTTGTCAGAGAATATTTGAAGGCATACCATCTCTAGTAAAAATATACAGCATACACAGTAGCCACACAGAATATAGTGTCCTGAAAAAGTTGTACCTATTGTATGTATCCAATGCTATATATGGATAAAGATAAAACCATATGTGCCCAAGTCTCGTTGTTTTTTCTCTTAATACGTATAGGGTAAGAATACAACGTAGGCATAAGTTGCGTGTACAAATGAAAATATTGAAATTAATTGTAATTCTTACATTCACAAAACTATCATAAGCATAACTATCAGCTTCCGCATCCCAAATACATCTTGTACCCATTTTTACTCCTGCTCCATGTTGTTCACCCAAAACAACATTTACAATATATTTGTAACGTTTGAAGTTTAAATCTAAAATTATGAAAAAAACCATTTTACACCAGGAATCATAAAACAACAGGTAACGTCGAAGGAAGAAACTTGACCTTTAACTTTCTCTCTAATTATATCTGCTATATCTTTAGTCCATTGAACAGCTTCCCCCGAATCATAAGTTTTTGCAGAAAGCTGATCGAATAATACATTATGTATTACCTCTTTTGCGTTTAAAGGTTTAAACCTAAATTAACAGGTTATTATCGCTCTTGTATCGGAATTGTAATTCCAAACAAAAATAAAATTACAGACACAATTTAATCGCGTAAAATCTGTAAGTAATTAAAGTACTTGTCGTGTAGTTGAGGTCGTATTTGATAAACCGGTTGTTGCGAAGTTGTAGTCTCTATGTCTTCGATAACCTCTAAATTCACCTGCATTTTCTCTTCTTTTTCGACTTTTTCTGTCGACATTTCATTCTCTGGTTCAATGGAATCTTTCATTTGGACGTTTTCCTCCATTTGCATTGGTGTATATTTGTATCTTTGACTTTTTTTTCTCTATTATATTAAAGATTCTACTGCACTAGACTTTGGCTGTATATCTACATGTATACAGGGTGTCCCAAAACTCGGGGAGGAACCGGAAATGGGGGGTAGCTGAGACGATTCTGAACAACAATTTCCTTTGCAAAAGTGTCGGATGGGGCTTCGTTAAGGAGATATTAAGCGAAAACCCAGACCAATCAGAGCGCGCGTACACCGTTCGAGGGGCCGCGGTAACGAAGGCTACGCGCTAGGTCGATGCTTCGATGCACGTCGAGTCACTTGTTCGCGTGCAAGCGCGGCCACCAGCGCGTAGCCTACGCTACCGCGGCCGCTCCAACGGTCTACGCGCGCTCTGATTGGTCTTGGTTTTCGCTTAATATCTCCTTAACGAAGCCCCATCCGACATTTTTGCAAAGGAAATTGTTGTTCAGAATCGTCTCAGCTACTCCCCATTTCCGGCTCCTCCCCGAGTTTTGGGACACCCTGTATATATAATAACTTTACACGTGGTCCGACCGGCGCGCAGGAAAGAACGTGCGTTATTTCTTTTGCCAAGATTATAGTAATAATCATATGGATATTGATTTTAATTTAAAGATAGCATCATGCACATATGAATACAAACTGAAACTAAAATCATGTTGATCGAACACACAATACTTGTTTTTTTCTTATTCTAATGGCACCTAATTGACTTGAATTCAATATTGGGCCGCTTAATCAATCAATCATCTTTCTTTTTCTCTATTTAAATTCGATCTCACCAGATAGATATTAAGCTACGTATAAGGTGCTTCAACAATACATAATAATAACATTGTTAATATACAACTTCCAAATTACCTTCCATTTGGGCCGCGGTCTGACCGCCGGTAATGCCGGGGAGGGCTGCTCCCGCTACATTTGGCCGGTGGTACTTCATTTACGCCAGTGATGCTCCATTTACGCTAGGGTCTGCGAGGGTTATCTCTGCGCGGTTTATCTCTGCGCGGGTTATCTCTGCGCGGGTTATATCTGCGCGGGTTATCTTTGGGTTAGGTCTGGGTTAGGTCTGGGTTAGGTCTGGGTTGGGTCTGGGTTGGGTCTGGGTTGGGTCTGGGTT